TTTGCCTAGATTAACATATATGCCACACCTAATTATGTACAAACAGGAATATTTAGAATTAAATCAGGGCCTTGCTTCATAATCTAACCATATATACACCAAAATTAAGATGTTAAGAAAAAATATTTTGGGTATAAATGAGTTAATAACTAAAGCATTGTTGATTTTATTATTCAGTAACAAAAAATACTGAAACATGTAATCGAAATGCATTGATCTGACCTTATAAAAAAATCAATAATCACATACACAATTCACATAAATCAAAACTATTTATTAACATATAAAGTAGCCATAATTTGAAATTTAGAAACAAAAAGATTTAATATCTTTAACAAACATAAGATTTAATTAACGTACATAAAAAACATGCAATGTATAATTGAAAGATCTGATTCAACTTAAACAACTAATTGTTCACACAGACAAGTAATCTTAGGAATTATACTAATAAATACAAGTAGATTTGGCACAGGGTCAACATTTGTATACATAAAATAAATATGTGTATAAATGTATATACATACATATATGCACATATATATATATATATATATATATATATATATATATATATATATATATATATATATATATATATATATATATATATATATATATATATATATATATATATATATAGTATATATCATATATATATACTATATATATATATATATATACTAGGGGAGTAAGAGGAACAATATTATTGAGGAGAGAGGTCATATACAGTAGATATACATAGGAAGTTCAATGCTTATGAATGCAACTAATTCTATCATATAAATATGGCCATGCCACACAAACTTTCACACAAACATACAAACACATACAAACTCTGGCAAACACACACATACATATAAGCATAAGCATGACATCACAAAAGCACATACGATCAAAGAAACGTCCACACAAACATACACTCTCACACACACACAGGAAAGCAACCAGATACTTACAACCACAGACATTCATAGATACAAACCTAGATGACCAGTAACAAGCAGAGAAAAAAGGGGAATTAGAAAAAAAAAGAAAATGAGAAGAACAACAACAAAAGGAAGAAGATAAAATAAAAGAAGATCAGGGAGAGAGAGAGAGAAAAAAAATCTTTCATGATTCTTAATTGCACTACTTGACACTAGACTTCATGACACTAGATGCATGATATGTGACCCAGGTGGGAATAATAATAGCACTTTATTAGACTAGGGAAAGCATGCACCACTACAACTGAAGACAGGAGTACAAAGAGGAATATCTCTGAGTACAAAAATGTGTTATTAAGTGACTGGGTGTGTGGGTTAATGTGACAGAGCATGTGTTTGTGAGAGTGTGTGTGTGTGCAAGTGCATGTACAAATATGTATATATATATATGTACATCTCTGTATGCTGATGTGTAGATGTTGGTGCAACATTATAATACATTGTGGAATGACCTTAGTCTTTTCACGAAAAAAAAAAAAAAATTAATGAACAAGGCAAAACAGTAATCGCTTCACTGCCGAAGCCAAAAATTTAATTCTCCATATAATTACAATAATTTCATGATTATTTTCCTTTGAATATTTTACCTAACACATGTGTCACAAGGACAAATTTTCAGAAGTTAATTTAAGGAAAGTATCTCAATACCATAACTACTTTTTATGAATGCAAGACTGAGCATATCCCATACTAATGATACCCTGACCTTGCCAACAGGTGGATATGACAACAGTCCTTCACAGGAATTGTGTCTGATTGTTGTTTCAATATCACAAATTTCAAATCAAAATATAAAACAAAGCAAAATTCCCTCAGCTAGTTTCTTCACCACCATTTTACAAAAAATATCTTACATGTGATCAGAGGAAATCACTAATACCAAGTCCTACTGGTATTACTGAGGGACTTTGTGCTGATGATGTGTCCAGTTCCACACAGGACAAAAACATTCTAAAAGACACTCTACCCTCATCACTTAACAATGCTGCTTTACAACAATCGCTTTCACCTCAAGCAGACCTTAGTTTCCAAAGGTAGCTTTAGCCTCAAGCCTGCCTCAGTTCAGCTGGTAACAGAAGTTGTAATTTGGAGGAGGAGGAGGAATGGAGGCTCCCTGCTGGTATGGTGACCCCCTCAGCATCAAGGAGGCGCAGTTTGATCTCCATGTTTAGTAGCATCTCCAGGTCCCTGTTGGCAGCAACACTGGGCATTCTCTGACCTGCAACAGGATCATTCCAATATTTTAGATTGCTTTCAGTATCCAATAAAATCTCAATATGTAGAAAGTTATGAATGAGAATAAATATCTTCACTACCTTCATGTATTTCTGACAAAGATATATTCGAAACCAATCAAATACATCTCTTGTATTATGAAGATATTCATTCTCATTCATACCTTTTTACATTTGTCAACATGACTATGGTTCAAAGTCTCAATATCTGAATGATAACTCAAAGAATAGTCAAGGTGTTCAAAACGCATATCAGAATTTCTGAATACGACACAAATTCAATATAATCTTGAAAAAATAGGGTGAAAAATAAATTGGAATAATAAGTGGATATACAAAATGATATAATGATGCACATAATACTTACGCAGTAGGGCATTTACCCCATCTATCCAGTAATTATATATGGTTTCCTCTGGAGCAACAAAGTCTAAGCTGTTTGTTTCGTTGACATTATTGCTTTCAAGAATAAGGGAGAAGGCTAATTGTGAAGAACTTTTTTTTCTGTAAAAAAAAAATTCAAGGTAAAATTTATAATTTTGTAAGGTAATACAGAAAAACTATCTCTCATTATTTCTTTCTAATCTAATGAGACAGACAGACAGTTAGACAGACAGACACACACACACCCAGACAGACACACACATGCACACACACACTCTCTCTCTCTCTCTCTCCCTGCCCTCTCTCCCCCCCCCCTCCCCCCTTGTCTCTCTCCCTCTCCCTCTCCCTCTCTCTCTCCCTCTCCCTCTCTTCCCCCCTCCCTCTCCCTCTTTCACATAAACACACAAAAATACCCAACCACACACACAAACACTGACATAGATTCCTTCCCTTTGCACACAAAGAGTCCTACAAAAAATACAAAACAAACAGAGAAACACACTCACCCACAAATGCACCCAAAATACACAAAGCCACAGACACTCACCCTGTCCTATCCTTCATGTGCGGGCACTCCTTCCCCGTCACAATGCCCTTGAGGTCCACTATGCTGATCTTCTTAGTCAGCTCATCTATGCTTGGCACAGTCTTCTCATCACAGTCATCGTAGTAGAAGAACTTATGGTTGGGCGACAGCCGGCAGTACCAGAACTTGTCCTTTGCTCGCTACAGGGAAAGGGAAAAAAAGGCAATCATGTGTGATTCAGAGCTTTTGAAGATGATGAAGAGGAAGATGCAGATGAGATAGAAGTGGACATATAGGAGGAAGAGGAGGAGGAGGAGGAGGAAGAAGACGAAAAGGAAGTAGAGGAGAATGGGGAGGAGGAGGAACAGTAGAGAGGAGATAGTTTGAGAGTGGAGGAATATCTAACAAACATAATTTAAAAATCTCTCAAACATTTACAAAAGCGATAGCATTAACCATTAAGAGTTACTCACCATGCCTCTGCCATATCTAAACCTGGTACCCTCCACTAGGAACCTTAGACGATGTTGCTGGATCAGTTCAAGGATTTCCGGCTCCAGCTGCTTTCTCAACTCCCTGTGGAAGATCAACGACTAATTACAAAACTGAATAAATGAAACACATCAAAATTTAAATTTTTGGAAAGGTTCATCCTCTGAAATTACAATCATCATCTTGTAGTTGATTTCTTATTATTTACTATGCGTCCAACTATAACGTAAAGCCTGATAAATTTTACGTACTTGATGGGAGGAGCCTGCATCTCCTGCTCCTCATTATTGATCCGCTCTTGCTGCCAGAGCTCAGCAATTTCCGCGTATGTGAGACTGTTGATCTTGACACGGAACTTGTCCAGGGTTGAAGGTAGTTCATTGTTTGTGCGAGTGATCTGGTCCCGCACGACACTCAATACTTTACTGTAACAAATAAATAATAAAAAGTTTAAAAAAGGAAATAAATAAAATCTTTCAAATTCTCTTATTCTACCTCCTTATCCCTTTCTTCTTCCTAATCACATTCATACATTCATAACTAAGACTTTCCATCCAAAAGCACTCTTACCTGAAGTCTTCAGTCGTTGCCTTCATTTCTTTCCACGTTTTATTTAACAACACAATGCAGATGGAGAAGAGCTCCTCGAAGGCATGATCATGCGAGAAAAACATGGGATGGAAGGTCTGCCCTTGCTCCGTTGGGACCTCACCAATCTGGATAAAATGGACATCAATTCAGATTCATGGACAAAGCAGAACAGATTTACAATTCCTTTGTATAAGCAGATTACATTTAAATCCTTGAACAAAGCAGACTTGATTTATATTCTTAAATTCAAAAATTTATATACATAGTTTTGAACTACTATAAAACTATTTATATAATATAAAGTCAATTAGTTTTCAACAAAAAATAAGTGCTAAACTACATTCTAACTTCAATACTGATTCAATCTACACTTTATATTTTTTATCTAGACATACAAAATGGATTGTATATAAGCTGAACAGATTTTACTTTGTCTGTTATAAAAGGATACAAAAATTAACATTAAGAAACCATTACATTTTGATTCTACAAATGGATCAAACACACACATACAATTTAACATGCACACACAATCATAAAAAAAAAGTTTATATATATATATATATATATATATATATATATATATATATATATATATATATATATATATATATATATATATATATATATATATATATATATATACATATATATACATATATATATATACATATATACATATATACACATATATACACATATATACATATATACATATATACATATATATACATATATATACATATATATATACATATATACATATATATACATATATACACATATATATACATATATACATATATATAATATATATATATATATATATATATATATATATATATATATATATATATATATATATATATATTATATATATATATATATATATATATATATAGCCATATAATACGCAGCTCACCTTCAAGATCTCGCAGAGGAGTTTTGTAAGTTCAATGCTGGCTCGTCCAAAGGGGCATTCATGGGAGTCAGCTCGATAACAGTTCTCCAAAACTAGCTTGGCATATCTGTGAAAAAATGGGAAAGGGAAGATTAGGTTGGCTTTCCAATACAGTCTTTCAAAACGGCTTTACTAGTTACATAATAATAGAGGATATATCTAGCTTGATATTTGGTTTTATTTGTTTCTGTTTAGTTTATATTTGTTGCAAAACAAAATATCAATAATAATAATAATAATAATAATAATAATAATAATAATAATAATAATAATAATAATAATAATAACAAAAATGAAAATGATAAACTGGCTTTATTAAAACATTATGTCCTTAACTTTGATCAGAATATGGGACATTAATCTTCTTAGCTTATCAACCCTAGGTACATGCACTGACCACTGTAATTTTGTCAATATTGTTTCACAGGCAAAGAGATAATCATTATAGTACACTAAATCTTAGAAAGGCAAAAACTGAGAACTCACAATGAACACTCGAGGATTTAGATTCCTTGTGTCGCTTCTTTATTCTAATCGCCCGACTTTTAATATTTTTGCTTACATATGTTTGGATTTTAAAATTTATATACAATATTTTCATTGCCTGTTTTAAAATGTGCTGCCTTCATTGTCATATTATTATTCTGTACCTTAATCTTTGTGCTTTTAATTTTTCACATTATTGCACAGAACAACTGGCCTGATCTTAAACTACAGACACATATTAGAAAGAGAAAATGAAGAAGAAAAAGGAGAAGAACAAGGAAAAAGAGTACAAAGAGATACGAGATAAAGGGGATGGAGAATAAGAGCAAGAAAATAAAAATACAAAAAAGATAGAAAGAAAAAGAAGCAAAACCATCTGCAATACCCACTGATCCGAGTGATTCCTGGCAAAAAATATCATGTTGTCCAGAGCCAGCATGCCAGGTGGGGTTTCCATGAAGTCTTGTGCAGGATTGATGTCATTGCGGAAACCCAGTTTCTTGTACTCCTTTTTGTACTCTGGCCTCCTGGTGGTCACGTTATTACTGCACTGTTAAATGAAGATTAATTTGAATTGAACATTTCTTATCAAGCAATTCATGTGCCCTATAAGTGCAAAAAGAAAATAGTAAGACACCTTTTGCATTTGAATTGAATATGAATCAACTTCTATTGTCTATACACATAAACTAAATAGTTCAAAATGGAATCTTAATCCTAATCCTAATTCATCTAGCAATGATGTCAGTATGTCAAACAGATTAGGGAATATACAGTTTCTCAAAGATTTGTTTTCCAGCCTTAATTGCTTTATTTGAAAGCATAATTCCTACTGATACTTTTCATTAATATTGTCAACATCTGCATTTGATAATGCTATAAAAATACAAATGTAATTAATGCTATTTTGGGTGGAAACTCAAGTAAAGGCCATACTTTGTGAATTGAAGACCATGGTATCATTCAGGTTTCCATCATCATTTGAAAATCAAAAACTATTTACTGGTTACCATAGTAATTATTTTTGAAGACATTTATTTTCCTCATCATTGAAAAACTTTTTTTTCTACCCTTAAATCATTCAAATCACACTGCTTTTAGCAACATTCAACACACATCCCTTTACAGTCTTTTTGCTCTCAGCTCACTCTGAACAACCAACCAACAAACAAGCAAGCAAAAAATAGAAGAAAAAAGAAAGAAAGAAAAAAGAACTGACTAACGAACCTCTCCATCTGACTCAAAAGCAATGCGACGGAGTTCCTTGATCTTGTCTGTGGCATCTTGGTCGCTGGGGTCCATGCTGGTGTTCATCCTTTCTTCATACTGGTTGAGGAGCAGCTGCTGGAGGACATACAACTGGTGTGCCATGTCCGCTCCAATGCCACCAGTCTGGGGATACAGGGAAAGAATAGGACATTGAGGGAGATGAAAAAGGAGGAAGGAGAATGAAACACCCCTTTTGGACTGCCTCACATTACAGTTTGTAGAGTATATGGTGTTTAATCCATTGACTACAACAGTATCTGGCAAGATTCACACTAGTATTTACTGCTAAAAGTGGATTTACTCCACATTAGCAAAACTTTTCATCATCTTTTAATTGAATGGAAAATGCCAATGTGCTGTTCCTATGTGCAACCAAGCAAGTAAACTTATGATAGAAAAATTTTGCTTCCTGTATAATAACTCACATTTTCTATTAGGGAAATGATGAATGAATGGTGAAGAGAAAAATTAAGCCATTAAAGGATTACAGTGTGATGTATTCTATAGCATTTACTGCAAAAATATGAGGTATATATGTAACAGTAAACATATAAACATAAATTTCCC